ATAACTCAAAAACCGCTGAACCGATTTTAACCAAATTTGGCACAAAAATACTGTGGCACCCGAGAATCTGGCCATTAGTTTTTGGTGGGGGTGGGGGGTTGATAAGGGGGTATGGGAGGGGGTTAAAAATTTTAAAAAATCGTAACTCCAAAATTACAGTAGGTACCGAAACGCGGTTTTCAAATTAAGATTATAGGAATAATATTTGCAACAACATTTGTAATAACATCAAAATCAGTCAAAGTCGCAGTTTTCGAGATATTAACATATTTTAGTATGGGCGGCTATACGTGCCTCCCGGCGCCAATTTTTTTAGCAACTACATATCGGCTACAGGCAGAACTTGGATAATGAGAACACCGACTTTTCAGAGCGTAAATATAGATTATCGTTTACATATAAAAAAACAAAATATAACCAGCTAAAAATAGAAATTAAGGCATCGCACTTTTATGGTAAGGGTTCTTTCTGAATTCAGTTAACATAAAACTCTACTGCCACTTACCTTATAACGTCAACATCCGTCAGCAATACATCAACAACAAGAACCTGTCCACTTCGTTGATCCCGTTGTAGATCTACCCATTCGGTCTTGGACTCATTCTTTGGATTGAACCACTCGACCGGTTATCACAGTGCTCTTTTAAATAACTTAATATTTTAGTGAATAGGTAAAATAAAGAAATAAAATGCCGATTTTTCACAACACCTAACTATATTTAATATAAAGAAATAAATAAATAAAAATAAAGCTTAAGCTTTCTTCTATTTAAGCTTCCTTAAGCATGCCTACGTGCTTTTTTTTCGTTGTTTATTTTGAGATATCCATAGGGTACACACAACTGGTACCACTCTGTCAAATAGAGTTTTGATAATAAGGGATGAATGTTTGTTCTACTTTACCCTCGTTTATGTGACTTTAAAATATTTAGAAGATCGTATTATTTGCTTAGTTAGTTTCTCAGGAAATATGGGTACTTTTAGAGAGTTTATGTGTCTTTTAATATCATTAGATTATTTGCTTAGGCCTTTTAAAATTCGTTTGCGTATGTCGACTGATACCTTCGTAAACTGAAATGGTCCCATCTTAGAATATCAAACCAAAAAAGATAAAATTTTACGAAGCTTGATATTATTCTATTACAGAACTGCCAAAAATGGGGGTGGATGCATTCTCATATGCACGAATATGGATAGTATTATACTCATCACTTAAACTTTTTACTCAATGATTTCAAAAAGCAAAAACGCCAAAGTCTTAAATAATAGCCAATTTTAAATAATCGCCAATTTTACCCAAATTTGATTTAAATCGATTTATAAAACAATATCACATAATGCAGACTTTTTCTGTGACACTCTATATGATCTAAAATTGTCCCTGATAGTTTTTGTGTTGCTTTATCCACTGTTATTCCCTAGTGCTTCGAATACAGGTGAACAAACAATAATGTATCCACCCCCATACATCCAAATATACGCACCTACACATCTCAATGCGCCATATATCACAGTCGTATCACAACGGCATCGTATATCACGTTCAGGCCCTCTTGCTTTGTTTTGGTTTTGTATTTGTTCCGCGCCGTGGAATGCGGGTTGAATAACATTTTTTATTTTTGGGAAAAAAAACAAGCATTCAAAAGCAGTGGCGGGTCCTCAATAAGGACACATTTGCACGTTAACCCTCAAATTTAATGTCGCTTCTTGAGAAAAAAAATAAATTTTATCAATCTTTCATTAATTCACTTTAGTCCAATTACAATTTACCATAGACGTCAAACTTGTCCCATATAGCACGTCCAAATGAAATTACGTTTCTACAAGGGAGACACATGAGAAACAACATATGTTAAAGTGAACCTAAGTGTTCATCTAGTTCTAACATACACATATGAGATACACGCAGGTTTATATTGATAGAATTGTGTGATACAGTGTTTACTAGTTATATACCTTATGCACTCAAGATTCTAAAGAGTTTTTTGTAACGTAACAAATAATTATTAAAATGATGAAATCTGACGTCGGTATATGAGACATACAATGTATAAGTGATATGTATGTGTGATACTTCGTATCATAGTTGTGCCTACAGTACACACCTTGTAAAAATGTGACGTATACACATAATATAAATATCTATATAGACACTTTGTAATAGTGTACTGTTGTGTCTACATTCTAGCATGAAATGAAGGTGTGCGCATGCGCGGATAGCCTCAGCGTAGATACACCGACCAAGTGTATCTTATGTGTCCTCTCTCCTTTCTCCTTTCTAGGAGTGGTATGTGTTTAGCAGCCATTATTGTTTTATCATTCGGAAGCTCTATATAAATGTTCTGTTTGTGTGTAGTTTAAAAGAGATTTTAAGGTAAGTAGAAGTTTTTAATTACCTTGTTACACCTTCCTAAGAGTATTATTAATATTATAGCAGCGACTCTTCCCTTACTCGATACCCAATTTACCAAATTTTGACTCCAATGAATGAAAACTCCAAATACTCTCGTATAATGATAAAGAGGTTAGCTGTGTTGGCTCTGCAATATAATTTTTTTAATTTGGAAATAATAAAAATCTAAATGGACCAGAGATAGAAAGATTTAAACAATTCACAGAACTTCTTACACTGATATTCGGTAAGTTATTGATGGATCAATATACAGATATGTTTAATATTCAAGAATCAGTTTCATATAAAATTTAAGGGTGAGATTGTTAATCTGGAAATAAAATACAACAAAGTCCAACAGAGTGCTCGATGAATGAGTATGGTAATAAACCAACTACTTGGAGGGAAAAGAGGAGAAAAAAATGACTAAACGAGGTCCAGCAAATCGTGGAGATATACCAGTGTTTACCATTTTAGTATGCTGTTATACTAGGTACTTATATTTTTAATACATTTTGATACAAATTCTGTTCTTTTACAGTGTTTTCTTACTTCTGGTTTCTGCAGTGTAAATAATAATTATTATTGTGTTATTTGCGCTATTGCGTTCCATGATATAAAGAAATATAAGAATTTTATTTGTTAACCACTTAATCCATTTTATGGAAGAAAAATGGTACATTTAATACAAAACAAAAATGGAACAATTTTAAGGCTACTTCTCTTGAACTTACGATCGAGATACTTTTGAAAAATACAAAGTTTTGCCTTCCTAATTTTCGTTCTAAAAAGATATAATTGGTATCATTGAATAAATATTTCTTAAAAAGAACGAAAAGTTAGGCATCAAAACTTGTATTATTTCCTAAATTCGTTCATAAGAAGTAGTTTTATCTAGCACAAGATGTATATACGAAGCAAAATACATACGTATACACGCGGTAGTCACAACTGCAATGTGTAAACATAGTTTAAACGTAATACACAAGCACTGTCTATCCTACGGCACACTGTGTATCCCTTATTTTGTGTATACGTAAATGCTATACTGTGGCTACATTGTGAGGCGGACGTTTAACCTTTGTGCATACGTGTTGAACTACAATGTGTAAACGTAGCATATTTACATCGGGGGAATTTTGTCAGCCTGTGTCTACGTCTAGTAATGTAAATACATCGTAAATGTGATTTGATGTGATGTATGGGGTACTACACATAAACTTACTCTGGCGTATAGGCTCCAAAACCAACTCCTTTTTTGCCAAATAGATAAACAACTAAATTCGTCCATAAACAACTAAATTCGTCTATAAACAACTAAAGTCGTCCATAAACAACTAAATTCGTCCATAGACTTTTTTTTCAATAATTAGAAGTCGTCCTCAGTAGGAAACACTGCGACCTGTGAGGCCCATTGTGTTTGTCCTCTTTGTGTCTGCTCCCATTCTTCTATCCCTGTGCCCTGTAACGGTCACAGAGCCTTGCAAGAGAGTCTTGGTCTTGCAAGTATTGCATTTTTTATTAGATTTTTACTAGAGATACTTTCTACAGTTCATACCAAATAAACTTTTAGTCACGTGATTAAGCTTGACCGGCACAGCGATGCCTACTTTTACATATTTTCTTTTAATCAAAATACTTTAGGAAACAAAAATAAATTAATTATAAATATATAAACAGTTTCTGAGGGCTTATGATCAAGAAAAATCACAGATCTTCCTAGGTCTGAGTAAGAACAATCTTCGGATTGTCACGGGGTTTTTAACAGGACACTGTCTCCTCAATGAACACCTCAGTAGATTGAAACTAAGAAGAAACGGCGAATGCAGATTCTGTGGGGAAGATGGTGAAACACCAGTACACCTCATCACTGAGTGCGCCGAGACGACAACCATTCGTGCCATGAATTTTGGTACGACTGATATTGGAGATGGAGAACTACCCTCTATAAAACCGTCCCAGATACTGGCTTTTGTCAAAGCCCTGGGACTGTATGATGAGTTATGATTCAAGAAAGGGGGACACAATGGATCTGTAAAGTCGAAGTGATTAACCCCCCTCCCACTCATTCTAAATTCTAATTCTAAAACAGTTGTTATTATTTGTTTGTGTTTAAAAAAAATCTCCTCTACGTAGACCTCAAGAAAGCGTATGATAGTGTGCTCTCGACAATCAATATCAACATAACATTAATTAAGGCTGTCCAAGAACTTTATAAGAACAACATTAGCTAAGTAAAGACAGGACAAACAGCATGAAAGGTTTCAGCACAAACAAAGGTCTTAAACAGGGCTGCTGTCTGTCCCCGACACTGTTTAAAATCTATTTGGAACAAGCTCTCAAAATGTGGAAAAGGAAGTGCGTCTATACGTCCACGTATAGCACATCTATCGCTGATGATTAAATAATACTGGCACAAGACTACGAGGAACTACGAGGAATATATGACCCGCAAACTAATTGAAGAGTATAACAAGTGGGAGTTGGAGGTAAATAACCTTAAGAAGACTTGTATCGGCGGCGAACAACAGAACTTAATCCTAGAACAGCAACAGCAAGAGAAAGCACTGCCAAAAATATAAATATCTTGACATGCACATTACCAACGATGGTAGCATTGATGAGGAAATTAAGTGCAGAAACAACCAGGGAAGACAAGCAATTAGACAACACTCAACAGTATTTTATGGGATAAGGCAGTATCAAAACAAAACAAACACAAAATTTATAACAGTATAGTTAAAAGCATCATTAGTTATGGTTGTGAAGTAGGGCCTTTGAAAGAAAAAAACCTTAAGTTACTCGAAGCAACAGAAATGGACTTTTGGAGTCGCGTGGCCGGGAAATCGAAACTGGATAGAGTAAGAAATGAAAGAATTCAGAACATCATGGAAGTTAAGCACAGAATAACAGACGACATCAAAATTAACCAACTCAGGTGGTACGGGCACGTACAAAGAATGGAAGAGAGCAGAATCCCAAAGAAAATACTCAATTGGACACCACAAGGTAAAAGAAAGAGAGGAAGGCCTAGACGGAGTTGGAGAGAAGGAATATACGGGGACATCAGAACAAGAGGAATAGACGAAAACCTCTGGAAAGACAGAGACCAATGAAGACTGGAAATCAGAAGACGGCGAAGAACGTTATAAACCGATTTGTATATATGTTATTATTTACATCAACGAAATTCACCTTTTTAACAGCACTTACGGGACATAAAGAGCTGTTACTATCGCTTCTTCAAAATATTCTAATAAAGTTACGATGAGTTTTTTACGGGTATTAAGCTATCTTGTACACTTCGCTCCAGAAGAGGTTCTAAAAAGAACAATGTTCGACTGCAAGGTCTGCTAGTAAACATTTTTAAGTTTAAAGTATCACAACGCTATTTATTTAAACCAAAACTCGTAATACAAAACTAAACTGTCAAAACGAATGATAATGTCAGGAAATAAATAAATAAGTGTAGCAACTTGACATTTTTTACAGCAGAGCTACCACCTGAATCCCCAGCGCCAAATTTAAATTCCAGTTAGCCAGTACGGCGCTGAATATGTCCATGGTTGGTAACAATGAATTTAAAAATCGCGCCCTCGATTAAGCAACTAAAAGATTACTTGATATCAAATATATAAAGAAAATTTTTAAATAAACAGTATTATTAGAATAATTTTCTGACAAACTTTATTATTTTACAATATATTATATTATTGAATCCTTATTTTTTTAAGTTTATGCAAAAGTCGGAAAACCACTATTTCTAATAAATTAAAATATGAATTTTGAAAAAGAAAACAAGTAATTTTTTATGCCATATTTAATTTATATTTAAGCGTAAAAAATTTGCACGTCCGCAAGGGTCCCGCATGCTTGGTCTTGATCTTGTGGAAGTCTTGCCCTGCTGGCCGGGTGTGGTCTCGGTCTTGCACAAAAAGCAACACTTTTTAGTCTTGGTCTTGCTCATTGTGCACAACCAAGACCAAGACTAGTCTCGTTCATCACTATCGTGGTCAAATTAAAAAGAAGTAGAAAAAAGACTCAAAGTCTTAACGTGGTCGCATGATCATTTTTACTAAGATGGTTTGCCCTCAAAGAATTGAACCACGCGCCGTCACTGCACAAAAGAGAATAGAAGGAATTTTAGCCTGCTCCTGTTTGGCTCGATCTGTCGAGCGGATTTATGAATCGAAAGCCATTTTTCATAAATCGACGGTAGAGCAGTGCAGGTGGCGCTAACGAACGAGTTAATTAATCTGTTCGAAATAGCGAAAGAACGGTTTCAAGTGGACGATTCTCTCTCTTTTTGTTTCAGCTTTTGTAATGGAAAATTGATAGCAAATTAACGCAGCTTCAGTTTCAATTAATCAGTTTTTTTTACGGTGCGCTGCTAATTAGAGATGGGCAAATATTGAACCAGTCATTCATTCGAAGGAGTTTAAAAAACGACTCGTGAGTATTGGCTTGGTGCATTTCAGTTGATTTTAAAAATTCCGACCGCAGCGCTCGATACGGTAAAAATCAGAAGTTGTCGGCTCTGTATTTCATGCAGTTCCGTTGTTGATCACACTGAATATTAAAATCGTGGTTTTGTCATACTATTTAAGTATTTTAATTTTTGCTAGTGCAGTTATTGAAACTAAAACAACGCTTTCAGATGGAGCTGACCGTCTGCGACTTCGAGCAAGTACCATGAGTTTATATGAACAATTTCACATGGGTCGCTTATGCTCCGTTCGGCTGATTTCATCCGACGCCGACGCGGCGACGGCTATCTTGAAAAAACAGGCGGACGAACAGCGCGGACAGTCCGCGCGGACGCTCCGCTCCCTCTGAAAGCGCTATAAAACACTCAGGTACGATGAGGTTTTTGTGATGTAACGCTGTTTCGGGTAGTAAAAATTAAGTGAAAAGAACCCGAACTGGGCGTCGCGTTGTATTGTGACAATTTCAAATGTTAATAAAAATGCGGAAAACTTGGGCGCAATAACATTCAATAACTCAACTTTCCCGGATCTTCAACTCTCCCGAAACAACATTTTATAGCTTCATAGTTTCTCACACCAATTTGATCAAAAGCAAAAAGGGATTCAAGCAGTTCGACGAAACAAATGAGTAAAGAAAGTGCCCATTACATAATAAAAAAATTAAATAGGCATATACTATGCGAGGATCAAATATAATTTGCAATATTAATGGTATATTTTTTTTAAGCAAATAGTGCTTAAATTTTTTTATGAACATCTTCTAAAATTATAATTATGTACCTTTAAACAATGCTATAGCCGAAATAGCCCATTTATGACTAACTAGCAAAACCGGTGCGTAAAACTATGCTCGCTACCATAGTTGAACTCATCTAAAAAGTTTTATTAGCTTGAATAATACATTATAATAGGTACAAGTTAGACATTCTGAATATATCAAAATATTTACTTTTTTATTTTAAAAAATTTCACTAATTATTTCCTAACACTTTTAGAATAATTATATATAATAGCTATGGTTATAATAGTGAAATAGCTTTGGTTATAATAGTTATGGTAGTGAAGTAGGGCCTTTGAAAGAAAAACCTTAAGTCACTCGGAAATTGATTTTTGGAGGCGCGCGGTTGAGAAATCGAAACTGGATAGAGTAAGAAATGAGAGAATTCAGAACATCATGGACGTTAAACACAGCTAAAACAGAATAACAGAAGACATCAAAATTAACCAACTCAAGTGGTATGGGCACGTACCTACAAAGAATGGAAGAGAGCAGACACAGCAAAATTTATTCCCGGAACATTGCCAAAACTTTGCAAAGCAAAGTGTAACATTGCTTTTTTCATTGTAGGGAGGTTTATGCAAGGTAGCAGGGTAGCTTAATCTTCCGCCAAATAACATTGCAGTGCAAGGTTTGAAAAAAATAATGTTGATGCAAGTTTATTGAAACCTTGTCACAACCTCGTGAGAACATTTCGCAATATTATTGACACGTTGCTAATGTAACGTTCAAGAAACTAATTTGAGATGTATTAGCAATATTATTAATTTTACGTCAATACAATATTGGTAAAGTTATATTGTACCTATGTTTCAAAACTTAGTATCCATTAAACTTTCTATTTTGTTATAACTTATTAACTGACTTATTGCTAAAATAATATAGCAAAAAATAGATAACGTTCGCAATAAAAAATCATTTCATTTATCGGGAAGTAAATATAAAAATTCTTTTTATAATATTTACTTATCAATTAATAAAACAGTTTTTTCTTTAAAACAGAACATTAGCAATTTTTTGCAATTTTGTATTAACAATAATACATCAGTAATAAGTTATAACCAACAGAAACATTAACGGGTATTAAAGTGTAGACTTTCAGATATGTATAATATACTTTTACTAATATTGTATTGACGAAAAACATAAACAATATTGATAAAAATATGCATATCTCTATACCCATTGACTTAGAAAAATTAAAAATGCTCGGTAAATATATTCCTACCAAGAAAGTCGAATTTGTAAAACAAATAAAAATTAGAAATTTATCACTTACTTGTTTCAAAAATATCAAAAATATTGTCAAGTACTGAGAACTTACTGATCTTTTCGGCTGCTTATTAAAAAAGGAATTACCCAACTCTGACCTCTGAGTCGAATTTCTAAAAAAAATCTTAAAGTTGAATGCCTGAAATAATACAAAATATATAGGTACAGTATAAACATTATTATTTATTTCTTATTCAAAAATACAAAAGAAAAGTATAACATTAAATATATGTACAAGGAAAAGCAAACTTACATTTTAATTGATTTTTTGGATCTTTCATATTTTGTCTTCGCATCTTGAATTGTCTTATTCATGGTTTCACATTCCTCATCGGTAAAGTTTTGAAATCTATATCCAATCATTTCGAAAGTAGTAAAAATAAAAACAATCAGTTGTAAATAAAACAGTGAGAAACTTACCTCTTGTGACAGTAATCTTTGAGGCTACTCCCTTGATGTCCTTATTTTAAAAATTTCTAATGATTATAACATCATTAAAAAATATTATTGAGAATAATTAATACTGAATATATTTGTGATTTTATCATTTGATTGATATACTCGTATCCTGGTTTTATCTACTTCAATTTTCAGTTGGCTAAAAGCTAACCTAAAACATAAAATTTAGCTTAAAAACAAACTAAAGAAAATTTGTTATAGGTACTTATTCATGGCTAAGCTTTATTAAAACACACATAATAATCTCATTGGAAAAGCATAAAACGTGATACCCTTGTAATACCAAAAACACAGTCAAAAACGTAAAAAAACAAGTGCGTTAACCTAACCTAACTTATACCGTATGATCGAAAAAAAGGCGTCAGCGATGGCTATGAAGAGAAAATCGCTGTTATTTTATATGTAAAATTATATGGGAAATGTCATCGATATTCATTTGCAAGTCAACTAGACGCCGTTTTTTTTCTCGATCTTATGGTATATTTGTGATATTATTAATTATTATTAACTTGCGTGGAGCTTTCATTTGAATCTTTGTTGCAATGTTGCAGAAAAAACGTTTTAATCATCATTAAAAAACAATGTTTCTGTAGCAAGGTTTCATCAATCACGACACAACGTTTAGAAATCAACATTACAAAGCAAACTGTTTGGGGATTAACTGCAATGTTGCAAATATAATGTACAGTCACTTTATATATTCTGTTCATTCAATAGCAATAATAATCAATGCCTCCGAGAACTAGTCAATAGTTACCGAGTACCATAATCAACTAAAAAATAAAGTACTATCTTAGAGTAGTTTTTAATAGTCACCATATTAAAGTGAATATACCTGATTTTTTATACGTCTAATTATTACATAGATTTTTTTCAGCAAATATTGTTGTTATACAAAATGTTTGGCCATTATTGCCTGACACATTATAATAAAGAACGTATACCCCGAGCACAAATTTCGAATCGTGTTCCGAAGCCAATTTATTAAGGCAATTAAGCATGAATAATTAAACCACAACGCCGCGTTACACCCTCGGTGTTTCCCTTATCGATTTCCATCGGCGAAAGAAATAATGACAAGGGGTGAAAAAAATATCACGCGCCCTGAACGGCCAGACTT